GCACTTTAGGGTTCAGGTTTTAGGATTGGGGGTTCAGGGTTTAGGGTTTAGGGTTCAGGGTTTAGGATTTAGGGTTCAGGGTTTAGGGTTGAGGATTTAGGGTTTAGGGAAGAGGGTTTGGTGCTCCTAAGAATAGCAGACACACTGTGTTGATAGTATTGATACTGACGGTCAAAACAAGATGCATTCTTTTCACGAAGATAGGAGGAGTGATGATAGTAAGTAGCACGGATATGAATGGTAGTGGCAGTCAGAACAGAACTGTAAAGGAAGCAGCAGTAGGAATAACAAGGAATAACAATGATACCGAAAAACGTCCAGTAATAATAGCAATGCCAGCAGATCAGGGATAGACAATTGTCCGTCTTCTTGATGCCTTGTATTTGTGGGGCTGACAGTTTTTTAAGCTAAGAGTGTTTTTTTCCAGAGTTCAGTGTAGTGTGGGCTGTGAGGAAGTTCGGGTTGAAGGTTTAGGGCCTCAGGATTTTTTAACATAAGGGGGGGGGGGGAAGACTCGGGGTATGGCTCAAGGCTCAAGTTTTCGGCTCAGACCTTGAGTTGCCGACGTGGCACAGCCTGGAGTCCTACTTTCTAGAGGCCCGACCAGTCCCAAAACCAACCGTGTAAGCTTCGTAGGCCAGGCAGCTGGCGAGGGTTTGGGGCGGGCGGCCGGTAGGCCGTGCACGCGCGCTCGTTGAGCCGCAAAACTTAGAACTGCGTGCAAACTCTTCTTGCATCTTGTGAACCAATCCTTGTTTTCTTGTGCAGAAATTTCTTGGATTTTGGGCCTTGCAAAATCGCCCGTTTACTTGTTGCAAAAGTACAGCTGAGGAGTTTTCTTGCAGGCAGTTCTTGCAAGGAGGCAGCATCCACGCAGGCAGAAGCAAAGGCAGCATGTCGCGTGCTTACCATGTATGCAGGAAGTGCGGACCCAGCAGCTGGATCTTTCAAGATCGTGTTGGGGTGAACCCGTTCTGCCAGAAGTGTGGATGTCAGTGGCCTAAGGCCACGCAGCAGAAGCCGAATGCAGTTGCAGGTGCGGACTGGGCAAACCGCAGTGATCCGGCCCGTGTGTGGAAGACTAAAGGCCCCAAGGCCGCAAGAGATCGTGCGGAAGCTCCTGTCAGTACAGCACAGAGGGCTCTGTCGACAGTGTGGGATGCGCTTCCACCAGCGGCGCGACAGGCCATCGAGCATGCAGGTTGGCAGCCCAAACAGCCAGCTCCGCCGCCGGGGCTTGGGGCTCTAACAAGGCTGTTCGCCTCTCGAAGGGCGGAGAAGGCAAAGGCAAAGGGACCGGCAAAGCTGCTGAGACTGAGGCGCTGCCTGATGATTCGGTCAAAGCGCTCTTTGCGTCTGCCAGCGATCATCAGAAAGAGCTCCTGATGCAGTGCGGCTTCTGTGAGCCGGAAGGGCCGCAACCTGATCTGATTGAAATGTGTAAGATGCACATGTCGGAGCTTCCTTCAGCCAGCTAGTGGAGGAACCGCCTGAGAAACCTCTTACTGCGTTCGAGCAACTCAATGATACCAGCAAGAAATTCAAGACTGCGACTGTAGAGCTCCGAGAGCTTATCACGAAAAAGGCAGCTCTCCAGCTGAAAATCAACAAACATAAAGACATTTACACAAGCATGCTCAATGACATGAAAACCCTGGATACCAATCTTTGCAGCAAACAGGATCAGGTCACTTTGCTGCAGCAGCAGTTGCAGAGTTCTGTTGTTGCGGAGGTCGCTGAATCCAGGCTAGACATTGAAAGTGCTCTTGCTAAGCAGATTGATCACATGCCTTTGGAGCAATTGGAAGCCTTCCGGGAGAGGTTCTGTGGCATTATTGATGAAAAAGCCTCCCTTAAGAAGCAGTCTGAGCTGCCAGATGCTCACATGCCAGATCAGGCCTCGCAGGCTTCCCAGCGAGGCCCTCCAGGAGGAACAACAGGCGATGAGCCTGCTGCCCGTCGTGAGGGCAAAGGCCGTTCCAGAAGCAGGGGCAGGTGAGGTACTGGGCCAGAGCAGGGTTAGGGTTTTGGGAAGGGTGTTCTTGAGTTCGCTTCCGGGCTTGGGGGTTCCTTGCGTATCGGGGATAGCCGTCCTTCTCTTGTTGGAGAATGCAGCAATGAATCCAACCTTGTTACCAGGCGAGCCGAGGCCCCGCTTCCCCCCACCATAGCTTTGCTTGATCGGCCTCCCAGTGTGCTTTCGGATACATCCGTTGTGCAGCAGCCACAGTTTTTGCCAGGGTTTGCACCTGTTGCTGGTTTGCAGCAAAGCCCTCCGCATGCATGTACAAGTTCTTGTTCGGACCAGTCCGTTTTCCTTGAAACTTTGAGGCGTGGGGAAGGTGATCAAAGTTTGCAGCTCATACTTGCAAGCGCGGTGCATCAGTGCCCAGAGTGTCTGTCCCCGTTGGCTGTCGCAATACATGTGAGCCACGTGGGCGTGCACGCTAGGGGTTCGGGTAGGTAGATGCAGCTCCTGTGGTGGCCAGGTCGCGGCAGTCACAAGCTGTGCGGATGGTGGCCCAGCCGAGCCTTCGCAAGAGCAGAGTGCGTTTGGTTTTTGTCTTGTTCCAGGTATGGGGTCTAGGGTTGGCCAGGGGTGCCGGGAAAGTTCTTCCGTGCAATGCGCATGTTGCCTTGTGTCCCTGCCCTCCTCAAGCCCCGCTCTGACTTCGTCCAGGCAGCCGCTGTGTGAGCATTGTTTTGCATCCCATGACGTGTGCAGGCACCGTCCCACTTTGACTGTTGCTCGGGATCGTCACCCTTCGGTTAACTTGAACTCAGGAGTGCAGCCCAATTCCTTGCTGCCCGGGGGCGCTGAGGGCCATGAATTTTCATTTGCACTCCCTAACCCGTGTGCTCCTGCTTGTTCGGCGGGCCCTAACCCCAATTTGCAGCAACCAGGTTTGAGGTCCAGTGAGGCTGAGGAGGAGTGTCAATTGTGGCCTGCTTGGGAAGCTTCATGTGTGGGATGTGGGTCAGAACCTACACTGTCGGCCTCGGGATCCCAGGAGGCCCTTTTGTTTTATCAGGCGTGTTGGCGCGCTCACTGCGCCAGGCCTAGCGCTGAGCTAGCTGTTGCGATGCAGAAGTGCGGTCAATTTTGTGCCACCTGTCTGTGCAAATTTTCGTACCAGTGTGTTGCTGCTGATTTGGTGCAGAGATGCAAACAGCCTTGCGTGATCACAGGGCCGAAATTTTTCTGGCCCGAACATGAGAATGCTTTCTTGCAGGACTCATTGCATGATGAGGCCCCAAGTGCTGTCTGCTTTGGTGCAGGGCAGTCTGGGCTGACAGAGCGGTTTCCCAAGTCCAGGCGCACTAGGCGGCGTCGCAATCGCTGGCTGAGGTTCGCAGCTATGCCAGTGGTAGGTGGGGAACTCGAAGGGTCATGCAGCCGCTCATGTGAGCATTTTTCGCCGGCTTTTCTTGATTCAATAATAGAGCCCCTGCCGTGTGAGCAGGGTGCCCCCAAGACCCAGGAGGTTGAGGTTACCACCAGGAGTTGGAGGATGCATCATGAGGGTGGGCCGCTGGCCACGGGTCTTGGGGGACCGGAAGGGGGGCCCTGGACGCCTGCTGCGTGCCATTTGTCTGAAGCAGGGTACGGTGCCGCCACTTTGCATTCAGATGTGTGCCCTGCTGGATACACTCAAAAAGTTTCCCAGGAATCTTCTGTTGGATCATTGGATGTGCGCCTTGTCGGCTGCACTCCCAAAAGTTGCCAAAAATCTGATTTTGAAAATCTTGCGGTTCTGGCTGGGGATGCTCCATCCATCTTGAGCTTAGTCGAGTCTTTGGAGCAGCAAGGCCTCATCACCGAAGGCACTTTTCCTTGGCAGGTTGCTGAGCTTGCTGTGGAAACACAGGAGGACGTGCCTCCACATGTGGCAGGCTGGGCAATTGAAGATGCCCTGGCAAACCTTAAGGACCCGAAATATCGGGATGATTTGCGCATTGTCACGGCTAATGTCTCTTCATGGAGGAAGGACCTTGGCCCTTGGGTTGCGCAACTCGGTGCCTCGGTTGTGATGCTTCAAGAGACGCACCTGTGTCCTGATCAGCCCGACTTGATTGAAGGCCAATTGGGGGCTTATGGTTTTAATGTTTTTAGTGTGCCGGGGCATCCCGCGGGCCGTGGGGGCACTTCAAGCGGAATGGCAATTTGCTTTCGCAAGCACCTGAATGTCCGTCGTGTGCATCAGTTTTTCAAGGCTGGTGCTGGTTTTCAGGTTGCTGCTATTCGGCTGCGGGACACTGATTGTTACTTGGTTTTAACCTTTATTTGAAGGCTGGTGAAGGATTCCAGAGTGCCACCAACTCGCAAACTCGCAAATTTTAGCTAGTCTGCTTGCTTTCCTTACTTCGGCCCGAGGCATTTATTTTGCAGCAGGCGACCTGAATGAAGACTTTGAGGTCATAGCTGCCAGCAGCTTTGCTCAGGAAGCCAAGGGCCACTGGATCAGCAGTGGAGAGTCCACGTGTGCAGGGGGAGGCAATATTGACTATGGCCTTCTTTCCCCATACTTGCTGCGGGTGCCAAGTTGGCTGTTGATTGGGACACTCCCTTTGCTCCGCATGTGGCGTTGCATTGGACCCTGCAGCTTCAGCATTTTGATTTTAAGTTGCCGCAGTTAGTTGCCTTCAAGCCTGCACCAGCCGTTTCTCTCGAGTGTCGTTGCTGACCTCGTGGTGAGCAGGTTGCCATTCAATCTCAGGAGCTGCATCTGCTTGGGACTGAGGTCGCTAAGCCTGGCCTGAGTGCGCTCTTTGCCAACCTTAGTCGGGATGTTGAAGTTTCTATCTTTGGGTGTAGCCAAGGCCGAGGTGCCAAAGTTCAGGTCAGCAGGAGGCCCCTTGTTGTCCCCACAGCTCCTGCTTTAGGCTGGGGAGGGGCCAAAGCCTCCTTTTGGCAACGCATGGCGGTGTGGTTGCAGGCGTGCTCCAAACGTTTCCATGTGAGCTCTTTTGGCCGGTCGGCCTCACTCCGTCTTGGCAGCATGTGGGCAGGTGCAACTTCTGATCGGGAGGCCTTTCAAGCTGACCTTCAGGTTCTCTTGGAATCAGAGGATGTACGAGTGCTGCCTGGACTGCTTGCGGCTGCACAGGAGCAGCACAAGGCCCATCAGCGGAAATGGCAACAGGAGAAAAGTGCATCATATGGTCATTGGCTCAGGCAGTCGACTCAGAAAGGCATGCGACCATTGTTTCGAAGTGTTAAGGCGGAGGAGGTCGTAACTGTTCGGCCCTTTCTTGATGCCCCTGTGCAAGAACGCATTGACTTGAGGTGGAGGCATTGGTTTGAGCTGTGGTCACATCCGGCCGGGGTCGACCGTGACCTGCTGGCCTCCTTGAAGCACGCTGCGCAGGAGCAAGCCCGGCTTTTGCATCCGATTGACTTGGAGCGGGCTGTAAGGTTTTTCAAGAAAGTTCCCGCTAAAGCGCCCGGCCTGGATGGTTGGACTTGTGAGATGCTCCGCAACCTTAGTGTTGAAGCTGTTCAGGCCATTCTTGAATTTTTCCATCACTGTGAGCGCGAGGCTTCTTGGCCGGACCAGATGGTCTTTGCACTTATAGCCTTGTTGCCTAAGTCTGAAAAGCGTGAACTGCATATCCTTTATCGTGCTTGGGCCAAGTTACGGTGGCCTTTGGTTGCCGCGTGGCAGACTGCTTATGCTGCTCGTGCACGATGGGACAAGGCTGTTCCGGGCGGCCAGGCGCTTGACGTAGCACTGGCAAGGCTGATGTTGGGAGAGTCGGTGCGGCGGAGCAAATCACATCTTATAACATTGTTCCTGGACATGGAGACGTTCTACGATAGGTGTGTGTTTGACGACGTCATTCGCTCTGGCCTTTCTTTGGCATACCCGCCACTTGTTTTGCATCAGGCATTGCTTACTTACATGGGGCCCCGTTTTGTGCAATCTGAAGGTGCGTTGTGCCCTCCCATTTGGCCGGGGAGGGGAGTCCTTGCTGGTTGCCCAGCGGCGCCGTCGGTATCAAAATTCGTCATCCACCCAGTTGCCGAAAAGCTTGCTTCCAAGAAAAGTGCATGCAACCTTGACATTTGGATTGATGACTTGTCTCTTGATTCGGTTAATAAGTCCCCGTTGCAGGTTGCCAGTGATTCCCTTTTTCTGTTCAGGGCTCTCCGACGGGATTTGGAAGCTAGAGGTGCACAAATATCAATTTCAAAAACATGCTTTGTGGCATCGTCGACGGAGGCGGCCAAGGCCATGAGCAAAATTCTTGATGCCAATGACCCTCAGGTCAAATCGATGACTAGGGATCTGGGTGTGACTTCAGCCGGGGGTCGCCGTCGTATATTGGGGCTTGCGGAACAGCGCAGGAAAAAGGCGGCCGGCAGGTCGCGGAAACTCAACCGATTGGCCATCCCGGGGAGGGCGCACCGTTTGCGCATTGTCAGGGCCTCTTTGTGCTCAGCTGGCCTCTGGGGCCATCAGGCACAGGGCGTGAGTCCTAAACGCCGCAAGTTCTACAGAACGCTTATCGCCAAGCATCTGGGCAAGCACAAGCTTGGATCCATTGATCTCACCTTTGTTGTCAATCGACGGCGTTGCGAGGATCCTCACCTCACCTTGTTGCGTCAGCATGTTCGTGCTGTGTCTAGGGTTTTTCGCCGTTGGCTTTCGGTTGACCCGGATAAGTTTAAATCTACTTGGATGAGCATTTGGTTGTGGCTTTCGCCGTCGCCACACCCGTGGAAGCGGGTCAATGGACCCATGGCGGCCTTGATGGCTTATATGCTTGAGCTTGGTGTGCAGTCGCCGCAAGCCCACTTGTGGAGCCGTGGCGACAGCCAGCTTTGCATTGATTGGTCTAGTCCGGATGCAACTCGTCGTGTGTGGCACTGGCTCCTTCCTATCTGGGAGGATTCGCGTCTGCAGCGAGTGTCCCAGTTTGAGGGTTGTGCTGCACTTAGGTCTGGGGTTGACCTCACTGTGCCAGATCGGTTGCAAAAAAGGAAATTCTTTAACAAAAACATGTTGGTGAACCTGCAGGCGCTGTGGCAGGGTGCCCTGATTGGTCAGTCTAAGCCGGGCTGGTGCAAGCTTTGTGGATGCCAGCTTTCTTTACAACATGTCTTGTGGGACTGTCCCTTTATCGCTGAGCGCTTCCCTGAGCCGGTTCACTTTCGGGCTGCCCAGCAAACGCACCCATGGCCTTGTCTTTGGTTGAGAGGGTTGATTCCGAAAGAGGTTTCATGTATCAGTGGCACGTCTCAGGCCTCAGGTTTAGTGTTTGAAGGGCTTTGGGCGCACAGACATGTGATTAGCAGCGAGAATCTTGTTTTTGCTTCTGATGCGTCGGGCGGTCCTGGAGCCCGGGACCCGAGGTCTGCTTGTGTGTCTTGGGCCATTGGCGCCTATGAGCTTCGACCTGAGGGGCCGGCTCGTGTGGCCAGCATCACTTGTTACCCGGACCAGCCCTTGTCTGTTGCGGGGGCGGAACAGCAGGCGGCTTTCGAACTCCTTGGCCGTGCCTCAGGTGACCTGGACATCACAGTCGACTGCAAGGCTGTTCTTCATGTCTTGGAGAAATCCTCCCCACCCTTAGATGGTCCGGTTCCTTGGGGTGAGGTTTGGGCTGATAGGAGTAGGGCGCGGGTCACGTGGGTACCCAGTCACAAAACTTCTTCTTACTTTGCAGATAAGGGCCTTCCAGAGTGGCGTCGAGTGATCAATGAGGACGTTGATTCGTTGTGTGGCAAGCGGGCTGCTCAGGTGTACCGGGTGGCATCCAAGCCGGAATTGCACAGCCTGGATGAATTATGGGAGGAAGTGTGTTGCAGATAAGGGCCTTCCAGAGTGGCGTCGAGTGATCAATGAGGACGTTGATTCGTTGTGTGGCAAGCGGGCTGCTCAGGTGTACCGGGTGGCATCCAAGCCGGAATTGCACAGCCTGGATGAATTATGGGAGGAAGTGTGTCTGCATTTGGCTAAGAAAATTGGGTACGTCCTTTTACATAGGAAAGATAAGCATTTTCCTTGGTTGCTTGATCGTGGGGATCCTGACAGTCGTAATGTTGGTGATTCATCCAAGGTCATTGCTGGGGATAAATTTGTTAAACCCAAGCCCCCTGCGAATGCGAAGAAGGTTGCACCGCCCAACAAAAAACAGCGCCTTAAGCAGATGCTGGATTCTCCGGACCCGGCATTAGGTCACGTTTGGCGTGATTGTGAGGCCAAGGCGAGCAATAATTTTGCGATCCAGTGTACGGTTTGCAGCCTTTATGTTGAACAATGCAACTCACTGGAAGTTTTCGATCGCAAGGTCGCCAACCCTTGCCGGGACATTGCTGCAGCGGTGCCGTCGGGTTGGAACATCCATTCTAGTCATGACATGCATAATAAGGGTTCCCATTTCCTGTGCTCCAAATGTTTGGCTTGCATTAAACTTGGGGCTGCGTCGCCCTCTGCCATTCTTCAGGCTGCGTGCAAAGGCCTAGGCCGTAAGGTTAATAGTGGCACCAAGGCTCGCGCTATGGCCCAGGTCGAAGGAGCCTCAAGTCGTTCCATTGCAAGTGCCTTCCAGGCTGCTAGTGAGTCGTCTCAGAGGGAGGCTGTCACTTCGGAACCGGCTGCCAAGCCGAAGCCCACTCCTAAGGGCAAGCCTAAGGCCAAGAGCAAAGATTCATCCAAGCAAACACGGTTGTCCTTCGCTTAGTTGTGCCGTGGGAGCTGTGAGGGCGGATGTCAATTCCTTCACGTTGTGATGTGCGCTTGTCTGCTGCACTCCAAGGTGTGCTTGCTGCGCTGGTGCACATTCCGGTATGCGGAGCAGCAAAAAAAAAAGAAATGAGATGATACCAATTTAGGGCCTTGCTTTAGCTCCAATGTGTAGCCGATGTTGTCGCAAATGCCTATACAGCTCTTGCTGCCTTGAAGTGGGTGTCATCGACCCTTGTTGGCGGTGGGGCTGTGTATGCAATGCGGCCAACTCCCACTTGCTACACCTTGTGCAGTTGTCCGCGGCACAAACTCAAAATCGTAATGTGGATTGTTGTTTGGGTCCTCTTTTGTTTGGGGTTTCGCTTAGTTCCTTGCCGGTGTGCGCTTGCAGCTGCACCCGAAAAGTTGAGCGAACTGGCCAGTGCCAGGGGGCTGTGGATGAAGCCCTCACTCTTGTGAGGTAGTTCAGCGCCACTTGGCGGCTCAGTGGGAGGGTACTTGAAGTTGTGCTGTTGGCACTGGCAACCTCTTGCTGGGCTCTGTTTGGCCTGCTTTACCCTTTATAATGCTCTTGATCCCTTAGTGGTGTGTGCACTCGCGTGTTCATACCACTGGGGTCTGTACAGTTGGGCGTGTACAGCGGCGGGTAGTTTGTACAGGCGCTGCTGCTGCTGCCTCGGCTGGGAATCCCTTGTGGGCATGCCTTTCTTGGCGTTTGAGGCGGCCCTGGCTTGGAATAGCAATCCCTTGGTGGAAGTGCCAGTCTTGCCTGCGTGCCCGTTGTATTCGTGGTTCATTGGCATTTCCTCCACTTTGGAACGGCACTGGTCCAGGAACTCGCGTGCAACAGTCTCACCTTGTTGCCTTCGGGTGGCGAGGTGAGACTTCCGTAGGCAGGTAGTTCTCTGTAGATCTTTGTCTTAGTGTTTTTTCGTTCTAGCTTTGGAGCTGCGACTTCTCTCTTCGCCCGGGAAGAAGACTCGGGGTATAGGGTTGAGATGAATAAACCCTAAACCCCAAAACGTTGAGCCCTAAACCTTTCTGAGCCTTAGAAACTCGACCCTAAACCCTAAACCCTAACCTTGAAAGGCCCCCTTAAACCCCTAAACCCTGAGCCCTCTAGTCAAGCTTGTCGCTTCGGAGTTGTGATGACTTTGTCGGGGGCTCGGCCCCGAAGTCCCGAAAGTTACGTCAGTCGTGGCCTTTGTTTAGGATCTGAGGCTTTGGGGTTTAGGCGTTTAAGGTTTAGGGTTTAGGGTTTCTGGATCTGAGGCTTTGGCTTTAGGGGTTTAGGGTTTCTGGAAGGGCGTGCGGCTTTGGGGTTGGGCCTTGTTGGGCGGTGGCTGTCGGATGGGTGAGTGGATGGGTGAGAGGAGCTTGAGTGAGAAAGCCCGGTGCTAGCCACCTTGCGAGAGCAACATCTCAACGCTTGCAAGGACACCCTCAACCCTAAACTCCCAAACCTCAAAACACAAAACCCCAAGCCCCAAACCTCGAACCCCTGCAACCTTAATCCCAGACCGAAGCTCATTCAATTCCCCTTGGACGCGGAAGCTTTTGTACCAAAGCCCGAAGCTCAGAATCCTCGACCCCACTACAACCCGGCGAAAAGGGGCATGCAGCCCTGTCGCGCCTTCCAGCTAGCCCGGGCAACGCGGTAAAGCTCAAGAACAACTCTACAAAACCCTGCAAAGTCTTGTAGCAACCCCTAGGCCAACCTCGTGGAAACCTCCTCAACGCGCCTCATAAATCCGAAGCCCTTGCCGTGGCATCTGCAGCAGGCGGCTACTGCCGTCCGTGATGCCAATCAGCAGGACTTTTTGTGAGAGATTCCAAAGAAGCGCATGAGAAGCGCAACATCCCGAAAGTCTTCGTAAGACTGGGGATCGCCACTTAGGCCTAGACCCTAAATCCCGTGCACTTGGGGTAGGGGCTGGAAGGGCACTTTTGGTGGGGATTCGAGAGAACACGACGTGTGAAGTTCTTTAGACTTTAGTAGATCCTCCAATAAAGGATTGCTATGAGGGTTGATTTAAGGGTTACTATAAGGGCTCCGTTTAATGGTCCTTTAGGTTCCTTTCAAGGTGACTGAGGGGACTCCGAACCCCGATAGTGAATATCTCGCAAGCTCGAAGTCCAAATCCTTACAGTAAGCCACAGAGTGTACCGCACACCCAGTCTTTTTGTATCGTTGTTTCTTACCGCGATGTAGAAAGAAGCCTCGGTATAGCGGCGGAACGCAGAACGTGTTGGATGTAGCATAGATGGACGGTATTAGTAACATCCCTAAATCCTACACCCCAAACCCTGAAACCCTCAAGCCACAAACCCTAAACCTTAAATCCCAAGAGCCTAAGCAACCCTGAACTCATGATTATGCCATCCGGTGGCGGGTTTGAGTGGCGATTCATGTCGCAGGGTTTCCAGCACTGGTGTTTTCGGGCCTCGGGTTCCGGGCTCGGGGCTTGGGGGTGTAGGATCCGCGATAAAGGTTTGATAGGCCTTGTACAAGGGGTTTATGGGGTTGTGGAGGATTTAACCCATGTTTAAGGCAAAACCGTAAACCCTAAACCCTTGCGTAAGCGATTTTTCTTGAGGAAGGATGGTGTAAGCTGTAAAGTGTATGCCTCATTAGAGGTGGGCAGCTGACCTGTGCAACTCGTGCTGAGAAAGGGTCACTGCACTTTAAAACCAAAAAAAACTTTGCTCGGCAGTGTGGGCGGCGGGATCTGCGCAGCCCGCCTGCAGCGTGCATTCCTCACTTCGAAACGAAGCGACACGGCAGGAGCAGTCCAAGCTCCACCAAATTCACACCTTAAGGGCGATGTGCACAAAGGCGACCTGGACGAAAGCAAACGACTCCGATGAGGTCAACGCCCAGATGAGCACTTGGAGGGTCATGGGACTTAGTAAGTATGGTTATAAGTACCTTAATTGGGGTTATAAGTAATTATAAGTATAGCTACCTTAATTATAACCCTAGTTACTAAGTACCATGATCCTTTAAGCAGAGCCAAGTTGATGCTTGAAATATCGAGGCATCCCCCCGCCCCCACTTGAAGGCTCATGGGACTTAGTAAGTAAGGTTACAAGTAGGGTGTAATTAGGAGAACCCCACTTAGGGGACTCATAACCCCAATTATAACCTACTTACTACGTCCCATGACCCTCTAAGCAACAGTGACCACGTGGACAAAACAGTGCTGCCACGCAGAGCGTGCCTTGATGTGCCTTGCTTCGCATGTCAGTTTGGCCGAAGGCGTCCCACGTGGCGACTTCTTGAAAAGCAGGAGCCAGAGGTGGATCCGGACCATACATATACATGCAGTTCTTGCTCATCAAGGACGATCAGCACTTTACGTTGGCTGCTACATGAGGGGTTGACAATAAATTAGGGCCCTTTTTTGGGTCCTTACTATAATACGGCACCTAATATTTCAGGGATCCAAAAAAGGACCATGATTCATAATTTTATGGTTCATAATTTTGACAACCACCCACATGGAACTCGTGAAGCTTTTGAGAGCCTCTTGATAACATGTCGAGACTCGTGGGGGCCTCAGCAGTGGTTTATCTTGAGGGATGCGGCTTATTTCAACACAGGCTCCTCCTGGTGAGGAAGTCTTTCCGTATCTGCAGTTGGAAAAGGGCCCATAAATGCGAAAACACCCTAAAAGCCACGGTTTCTCTCTTAAGAGGGGGCTTTGGAGGACCTGGCTGGATGTTGTCATATGGGTTCCATGGGCTTGATACGACTTTATGTGTGTTTAGGCATACTTAACACCCGAAACTCCAGACCTTAAACCTCCAGACCCCAAGACCCTAAACCCCTGAAGCCCTAAACCCCTAGACACTAAACCCTAAACTCTGAACCCTACGCCGTCTGGTGCGGCTGGGACCTAACATGGGGGCCTAAATGCTTACTAACACTATTTTGGGGTTCCTGAATAACTATCGTTTAATGGGCCCCAAAACCCTATTCTACTTATTGCGGCCCCTATATTACGGCCCCCTGCTGCAGGAGCTGCAGATCTTCCTGGACAATGCTGTGGCATGCTTCCACCAGCTGAAGGATGCAACTTTCATTATTAGGATTTGGGGTTTCGGGTTTAGGGGTTTAGGGTTAAGGGTTTCGGGTTTAGGGTTGATTGCTGTTCTAGGGACTACTGTAAGGGACTACGGTTGGTTTAATATAAAATCCTGCATTACCCAAAATGAGGAATACGCCATAATTCTCATAGTTTAGGGCCATTAAGGTAACGCAGGATTCATATCATCAACCGTGTTTCAATTACAAGCGGTGTTTGTTGTTGTTATGACGATGATGATGATTATGACCTTGGTTCTTACTATGTTGACTATGGTCCCGGTTGTGATTTGTTATGGTTATGATTACTATGAGTGTTTATGATGGCTTCAGTGTTATTTGTAGTGTTATCACCACTACTCTTTTTTGCTATGTACCGGGGTTCTTTGACATGATGATTTAGACTGAGTACTTTCTTCTTAGTTGTTCTTATGAATACAGCTTGTACAGTAATGTGTATATTGCCAGTATGTTTTTTATGATCAAGAGTATTATTGTGATTTGCTCATGTTTTGACCCCAGCCGGGGTTTACGGTGTATACGGTAGTTGAGAGAAAAGCATATGCAACCAGCACATTGCACTGCAGGGGGCAAGATGTCCTGAGGCGAAGAAATTGCTGTACCACTTACTCCGGGTCTGACGTCGGAAAAAGGATAATTTTGGAGCATCCCGTATACCATGTTATATAT